TTCAGCTTTTTCATCAGCTTTCAGCCACAGTATTCAGCAATAAGCACTGAAATGCAATTTCTCTAGTTGTTGTCATTATCYACATCAAAGTCCTCCTCAGAGTCTAAGAAAGCTCTGATCCCTGAACACATTTTGTCAGTGACCCCTGGAGTAGAGACACATCCAGTGTGYGTTTTTACACACCAACATATATGTGTGAGTGGTTCAAGCACTCATAACATATTTGCATGCAGAAGTGATGAGGGCCTGAGTGTCCTTTTCTTCAAAGTCCTTCAACAGCTCTGAGGTGAGCACAAGTGTCCTCTAGTGTCTGAAGAAGATGATCTGTCTTCCCTGACCGCCCAGCGTGCTATAATCATTGCTTTCTGCATCCCCCTCAAAACAACCCGCTTTGTCGAATGCACAGATTTAGTTACCCTTCATGTTCAACCTTTATTCCACCTGAATCTCAGCAGGAACAAAAACAACAACTGTGTTCTCTTACATACAGCACGTGTATGCATAAAGCTGCACGTTAAAAACAGAAACGAGTGTCTGAACATGAAGGGCCCAGAGCAGAGATGATTTAGAGACACTGAAAAGAATAACTGGCACTATTATTGAATGCTTACAGCACATTGTGTTCGTCTCCATTTGTTTTACTCCACCATGAGAGGAGATTCATTTCAAAACAGCAGTCTCTCGTGACAAAGTCTCATGTGCAGACCGTGTACTTGTTTGTCTTTTTTTTTGTTTATTTCTTTGCACAAATCAGATTTCCCACATGTTTACTTCTAAAAATAACTTATTGTTGCAGGTATGGTCACCCTGAAATCCATCTACGTTGCTCCTTCATTCTTCTCTCCTCCAGTTTTGTAAATGTTTGCAGATGAACACTAATAGTCTCCTCTGTATATCGATGACAAGCTAATTCATCAAAAACGCCATGGCTGCCCAGTCCGACCAGCAGCTTCCAGCCAGCAGCTTGCTGGAAATAACCAGTTTGCACAACCCTGAAGGGCTGCAGGTTCACACACACGGTACGGATTTGTGTGTGTAAGCATTGTTCCAGCTTGGAAGCGCTGCAACACTACAAGGAGTGTGTATATTTGTGTGTGTCCAGTAGTAAAAATGTATTTATCATGTCTTTTTTGTTGAACTGGTCAGAGTCTGTTACAAACTTATTCATTAAACAAAGTATTTATGCATTCCGGGCTCCCTCTCAAATCCATAATTTGTTGGACTCTTATCAAACACTGTTCAGTAAACTTAATTYTCTGTATTTGCATCTTCCATGATTTGTTTCTCTTTGCTATTGTACAAATCGTGTTTATTTGGTTTGTTTCAAGCGAACTAAAAATGCGTGGTTATGAAAAATCCTTACAATATTTATTGCAAAGATAATCACCCCAGTGTGACCCATTGTTTAAACTTTCGTGCATTCTTTGGTGTGATCTGTTTASGTTTGTTTGAGAACACTGGGATTATGCACATACTGTGGAACATTGGAGGTCTGCTACTGTAGCTGACAACCTTTTGGCCAAGTTTATGTTATCTAACAGGACTTCATGATAATTCATGCCTTGCTGAGTCTGGAGATCATCWGGCTGACAAAAAGTCACTCTGTTATTGGAGTTTTTCAGATGAAAGGATTAATGGTCATTTTCTGATAAATAATCATTTAGTATCACCTATGCATAAAGAAAAGGGCAGATGTCTTTCAACATATGAAACAGGTTTATAAAACAATTCTTTCGTAAGTTTCTACTTTTGCCCTTTAAAATGCCAGTGTTTAACACCCACGGTGTTAATTTCAACACCATTTTAACACCATTTTTTTTTGTTAATTTAACACCAACCAGTATTTAATATACAATAATATTGGGTGTCACATTTACATTTCAACAGTGTTAAAACATAGCATTAAATGCAACATTAGTGTAATATTACTAACAAATTAAATCATGGTTAACAGACACATTTATGCTTAATACACCATAAATTTGAGAGTGTAAATTTAACACTCTCACCTTTTAAAAAGCTGTTTATATCTCCATGGTCACGGGTCCCCACTACAGGCAGCCGCCATCTTGTCTACAAAGGTTCATGAAGGACAAACTGCG